TCGGGAGCATTTGTACGAGTACTCGCCCAAATACTCAGTATCGGTGCATCCCTATTTTCTAGTATAGGTGTAAAGGCTCATCTCTTCTGGGAAGCTTATCGCACCTCAACCTAACCACTGAACTATAACTTTCTTAAACAATTCATCCCCACACAGCTACCTCCTCTTGTATCACTTGCTCCTCCCTTTTAGATTGCAAGCTCTCATGGGCAGGGCCCTCCTTACCATCTTTTTTTGATTTGTATTGTAACTGTAATGGCTTCCTTATATTGTAAAGCACTGCGCAAACTATTGGTGCTGTATAATAATAATTCTCAATGGTGACTGTGGGAAAATGTAATTAAAGGCTTGTTGGGGTAAAAAAATTGCACTGACTACACAAAAAGTTACATACCAAATTCCTAAATGTCTGTACAGCAGTGGTTACAGTTAAATTCCTATTTATAAATATTTTATTTTTTTATTGTCATCTTGTATTTTGGCTTCCTGACTTCAAGAAAATAAGCAGGAATTGTTGCTGTAGTAAAGAACAGAGTATAACCTTCACATTGCTCCTCCAGGCATGTCAATCTGTGTCTAGAATTAATGCCATCACACATCTTTCCCTACCTAGCGAGAGGTGACCGCCTTTCACAAGACCACAGATGGAGTATAGACGTAAGTCCTTGCCCTCTTCCTTAAATCGCTATCCACTTATAAGATAACACTTTGCGGATGACTTTAAAAAGACTAAGTGGAAGGAAATGTTTCATCTCGATCAGATGTTCCTCCTTGCTCTGTGGAAACCTTGCTCAGAAATCTCCAAAGGTTACCCAAGTGGTCTTGTTGAAGTTTTCAGCAAGATGCTCCGTTACAATTATAATTGGCTGATGAGTAGGTTTGGCCCTAACTAGAATGCCATTGTTCGATTTCCCAGCATTCCCTCTGAAGACTTGTCACAGTTTCTGCTGGCTCCGTTGACAATTTTCTAAAAAGCAAACTCGAGGGAAATCATTACGCTCTTTACATGTCGTCTTCTGCAGTACAGAGTGATCCTGTGATATTTTAACACGGTTTTCCATTGCCTGATGGCAGCTAGCTAAGGTTAAAGCAGAACAAGTCCCTCTGTTATTTTGTGACTGTATTTCAGCCACTGAAGAAGACGAGGAGATAACTGACAATTAAATGCCTGGGTTGTCAAAGCTAAAACGTATGCAGCCAATCAATGGAGTCTGTTGGGAGCACAGTTTTGTGAGAGTGATAAGGAAGAAATGACAAGTGGCACAGTGGAGTTTTTGCAATACAAATATAATAGTTATCACTGTTGCAAAATCGGGTGTGAGGAATACAAATGTGTGGGATTTCTGTGTTGATAAAAGACGGGCAGATTAGTAGCATTTAAAATATAAAGGAGTTACTCAGAAGTCAGGAGAATTATGAAGGCATGTTCCTGAAGTGATCTGGTTGTTTGGAAATAATTTCTTCCAGAAGCAGATGATCCTTAGGTCACACATCATACACATCCGCTATTTAGTGCGTATCAGTATCTCCCAGTTTTGCTAGTGAGGCATGTCAGGTCATCTCTGAAAGGATAGAACTTTGTATGAAATATCCAGCCCATTAGATGCCAGTGCCAGTCTTTTAAGGACTACTGATTTCCCCGTTCGTGCTCCATACATGAAGAGATCAAATAAAAACCTTCTATTGTGTACAAATTACAGCCTGTGTATGGTCAGATAAGACGTTGCACTGCATCAGATCAAAAAAAATCCTTTACACTATTCGTCATGTATGTTGGCTTCAGTATAGCAAGTGGGGAAATGTGGCTACTGTTCCTATGTCGGGCAACATTTCTAATAGTGGTTCTTTCTTACATAAAATATTCTATAAAATCTGACTTCATTTAGTTCACATTTGTTCATGTTTTTTTCTACTAAAAAGTATTGGAGCCAGGCATGGCAAGTATAACTTTCGCATAAGTACTGAACTGAGGCTCCTCTGACATCAGCTATGTATGTGTGGCAGTTTGGTGGCTGGGTGGAAATGTCATAGAATAGACCATGTGATCTGCTGCCCCTGGTAATAGATCTTGGCTTTCTCATTAACTGCCAGTGTGCCAAATAAAAAAGTATGAAGCTTGCCACACACTATTAGATTTATTTCATTCAGCCAGTGGGCTGAAAAAAGGACGTTCAACAGATTCCTCAATCCATGCTAAAACTGCACAGATAGCTTAATCTCCCCTGCTGGGCGTTTGTATTATGATAGCTAGCTTCCACTGCTGTCAGAATACCCAAACATTACAGGACAGACTGCAGTCACTGTTCGGCCAACAATTTTCCACTCGACTCCTTCGACAAAAGTCAATGAAATTACTTTTTGTCGAGCTGGTTGGTGCTGGCTGAGTCAGCAGGACTCGGACTGAATTTGAGCACTGCATGGCCAGATTTAGTCTCTGACCTCCTGAATTAAACATCTATTATTATATGTTGTCTGTGTCCGTCCCTCTTAAAGGTCATTGGGATAAGGAGACATGGTCACACAGTTTTTGAACATGCCCCCTGACTGTTAGAGGTGTTGACACCCCACAGAGAGTGTTTTTAACATTCCTTTGGGGATATGTTATGTTATTATTAGTTTAGATGTACAGAACAGTATTTAGTGAAGTTTTTTTTTTAGCTTCTTATATTTCTGGTGGTGGTGGTGGTGGTGGATGGAATAGATTGTGATCATTTCACTTGCTTGGTGGTACATAATATAAAATCTTTGGTAGATATGTTATCTGTTGAATAGTCTATCCTTTGGGTTGGTTGATTCACCCACTTGGTGTTTCCTTGTTTGTTTGTCTATCTGGCTTGGTCATTATGAGGGGGGTCCTCCCTTTAGATATTTAATTTTTCTTGCTTAATGGAGCAGGAACAAAACTCCTTCAGTTGCTACAGGAAATCCGGTCCTCTTTGGTCATAGGGGTGAAGCCAGGACGTGACAATCTGAGAACTTTGGATCATTTTGATTAGCAAGCCATAAACACATATAAACCAACTCTTAACAAGGTCAACCATGTGAAGATAAATACTCTTAAAATATAAAACCAAAACATTTCTCCCACTTTGGGTAGAGAACTTTTTTTATTTTTACCATTTGAGTCCCAAAGAGAGATTTCCCTTTTACTACATGTCCTTTAGATACAATCGGAAGTGAGAGGAATTCTCTGCAAAGCGAGGGAAATGCCCTATTGCAGTTGTCACCTTGGAAATGTTCCCCTCTTTTCTTTTTTTTTTTGGTGACAACTCAATATTTTGGATTCCTATCATTTAGTCCCATTGGCCATGGTTACCAGAACACATAGAAGAGGGTGAATCTCTCTAAGGGGGACACAGACAGTAATAAAACCTGAATGGGGTTCTAACCGCTTACCATTCTACCTAAAAGAATTGTAAGCACAATCTATCCTTCAGAGACTTGTTCTGTTTGGGCTGCTCGCTATCTGGTTGGGTCCATCTATCCCCCATATGTGAGACCTATGGTTTGATGAGCTGCCCGTACATGTCCATTGATTGTTTCCTAATGTGATTGCCTCCTATACGGAGTTCCTGAAGAAGCGCCTCAAGCGTGAAATGCGTAGAACTTGTACCACTCCAGTTACCAACAAAGAGAAGAATCTACATCTTGACAGACACTATGTGGTCAACTCTTATTAGTCTGTTGGAGTAAAATTGAGGGGTGGCATTTAGAGGTTTAATCCAATGTATCAAAAATAATCGGGATATCAATGTTGTACTGTTACAATTTCCATATTATTTATTACCAATTTTAATCCTGTTCTAATAAAAACACTTTTTATACAATTGTGAAGTAAAGATCATTTTTGGCTCTGTCATTTAGCACCTTAAAAGCCCCACCTATTTTTTTGGTCGTATTATATCCAAAAGTTAAAAAAAACTTTGGGCTTTAGATACACTTTAATACAATGAACACAGTAGCTCCAAAATGACAATATAAATTTACTAGGCAGTTTCCAAATTTCACAGACAAGTAATGACAGTGATTTAAAAGAGAAAAAAAACGCCAAAACAGCTGCTATCAATCACTTAACATTTGATTAGATTGCATTGCACCTTGTTAAATCGGCCTCGTAGTGTGATATAATTGTTCAGCGTGTTATTTTAGATGGTTGCATTTCTTTTGATTTGTGGAAGAAAAATGTGTTTCCCCCTTCAATATTTGTTGATATATCTTTTACAGAAATAGATCATCTTTAAATTGTAGTTTACATGTAAAGTGAATTACAGTTCATTCTGAATCCATTCCCATGAAATCTATTTTAATTTCACATTTCATAAACTGCATTAAGTGTGTGTTGTGGAGTTCAGGGCTAGGGCTCCTCAGCTTTCATTTGAAGCCTTTTTTCTTTGGTTTTTATCTTGGTCTCAGGTTACAAGACTCGTTCATAATATCGCCGGGTATCACAGCAAATGCCTTATATTAACTGAAAGAAATATCAGGCCTTAGCTGTGAACAACATGACAACGAGACATGTGGCCTGTCCTTTGTCATTCTCAAATATACTCTGGATGTGGCCAGTGCATCGTAGACTGATCTGTCAAACTAAACAAACAACTCACATTGTTAACATTTCCTAAATCTTGCATTAATAAAACCAGAGTAAGTCTCTGAAACCACAGGAGATTTCCCCTTTCTCAGAGCAATGATGGATTGGATTCCTTCATGGCTGAGTAATGAAATAGCTTCGGCTATTGAAATGGAACATTTTGTTTTCTTTTTGTTTTCACTTAAATAGAAATGTGAGATAAAACTTTAGCGTGACACCAGAATTGCTAAGCCTGAGAATTTAAAATACCATTTGCTTGTCACTTGTTAAGAGGTCTTTATTAGGTCATTCCTAAGCTGCTATTATTTTAACATAAAGACAGAGTCGTTCTCAGTTTATTTCCTCTCTGATTTTCTCATATTTTTTATTTTTAATTATTATGTTAAAGTTGACCTTTTTTTCATTTCAGTCTGTGATATATGAAAATGAAGAGCTTCCAAAGATATTTCTTGATTTTTTAAACGTTCGGCATTTACCGTCTTTGCCAAAAGCCGAAAGCTGTGGGTAAGATATTTTACCTCTCCGTAGTCACACAATCCATGCTTGTAATGTATTTTTATTCTCTAGTCGCTCGGATACATTCTTTTAGTGCCATAAAGATTACAGAAATTATTACTGTAATGACAATATTATTTCTCACTGTCCGATTACTACTTTGATAGTTATGTTTGTTTGCATTCCTTGCCATAAAATAAAAAAAATCAGGCTGATTAGTTATCACAGTCTATGGCCATTTATTTAACTGGAATCAAAGCCACATACATCACAATGATCAAATATTTCCCGTCAAAATTTCCAAACTTAAAAATACATAAAATATGACATAGAAGGGCATAATATCACTAAGGCTACTAAACAAATATGAACAATTAAAGAAGAATGTAGTTTTTGTAAATGATACAAACTACAATAAAGTGTACCTGTCACTCTGGAGGTAGTCGGTTTATTGGCTCAGCTAAGATACAGCCTTATTGTTAGGTGCAGTGACCAGTGCTTAATTATGTTTTGCCCCAGTTCTTTGTGACTACACCGTTCCATATGCCACAAATTATATGACGCACATTCTAGAAGTGGTAACAAAATGTTTTCCTTTACAATATTTGTATTTAATTTTCAGAAAAAGAAAAAACTAAACATACTAATAACAGCCCTTGCAGAGGTAACATATGTGATGCATATACATTCACATAACAGCCAAAAGCAATGAAAGGGAGAAGATTACAAAGAGCTCAAAGAGAACTTAAAGGAGAAAAACTGAAAATCACTCATCCTCATAGTTCGAGCCGACGTGCGACAATGAAACTGTCACACGTTGGCTCAATAGACCGGGAAGTGAGCGAACACATACCGTTGCTCGCTCACTTCTCGATCATCTCCCTGCAGAGAGCTGTAACTGTCCCCCCCCTCCCCGCTCCGATCCTCCAGCGCTGACTGGAGGAATGGATCGAGGAGGGGGTGGGTACAGCTGGCGCTGCCTCTAGATAGACAGATCCAGCTGTCACTCACGCAACTGGGCGTATCTCGACAGTATTGTCAGGATCCGTCCCGGCTGCAGAGGTCTCAGTATACTGCGAGCTGTAGCTTGCTATATACTGAGCTTTGGGTCACTAGAGGACGCTAGTATATGTCCTTCCGTGACCCTTAAGAGAACTATGGGGAAAAAAACTTACCCCATAATTCTCTTTTAATAAAAGTATAAGGCTCAAATAGTGATCAAGGAAGCAATACAGGTACTTCTCAATACTCGCTACTAGATTGTAAGCTCTCGCAAACAGGGCCCTCCTAACCCTTTTGTATTGAAATTGTATTGTAACTATCATCCCCCCCATTTTGTAAAGCGCTGCACAAACTGTTGGCGCTATACAAATCCTGTAATATAATATTAGTAATTAAGAACCATCAAGACTCAGCAAATTGTGGAGGGGAAGAAAACACCAAAAAGCACCAGAAACAGGACGGGAAGGGTAGTTAGGATAGGGAATCAGGCTGCGCCTCACAAGGCTGATACCCCCAACGGACCACTAGTTTAAAAATGTTATTTTTTAAATAATTTCTCTCACAAATCCCGGCCTGCTGGTTAAATCTAAACTATTTAATTTATTTTCAGTTCTTTGATGCATTGCTCGGTCCATTTTAACTAGATTGTTTGTTTTAATTCTTTACAACAACTTATTCATAGTAATAAGGCAGATTTTATAAAATAACTGACAATATATAATAACATACCTGGCCACTTTTTGTCACCCTGTATTCCTGTATATATATGTTTGTCATATAATTTGTCATTAGAGTTAGTAGCAAGTATAGGTCTGCAGTGACACACTTCACTTTATATCCCACTTATTATCTGTAATATTGGAGTTCTAATGCTTGTATGTGACTGGATGGGATTTTAGTGCTGGCAGCTCTGTCCACCTATCCATATGCTTGCCGGTATCGGTGTTTTCGGAATAACCCCAAATCAGAGGCTGCAATACTTCAGGCCGAATCTTTTCATATTCTAAGCTCAGCCTCTGAGGTAGCTCAGCACAGAATCATGTAACAGGAGCCTGTAGGCTTGCCACTAACACTGTAAACAGGTTTCTGGGAATATGAAATGCAGATGAAAAATAATTTAAGAGACTTGTAAGTTCCGCATAGTGGCAATTATTCCGGCATCTGCATTAGTTTGCAGATTCATTTAACGTATTGTCTGAAGTTTCAACGTATCTTTCTCACATGGCTCCTAGCATTATTTATTCTACATTTGTCCCATGCAGAGATTATCTGTCTGCGTGAAAATAGAAAACCCGTGATTACTGGCATTTTGAATCCTATTTTTATGAGCTAGATGGAATCTTTCTGAATAAATAACGATTAGGGATGCACCGATACCGATACAAGCATCGGTATCGGCCGCGATACCGAGTATTTGCATGAGTACTCGTACTTGTGCAAATACTCCAAAACATAAAACGAGTACCTGTGCCGCGTCCGCCATCTTCAGGGACCCGGATCCGCCGCACACAGGACCTCGATCGCGTCTTCAATCAAGCAAGATGGCCGCGACCTCCTCTGTCATCTGCTTCATTCTGACCTCTCCCGCTGATTGGCCGATTGGATGATTGACAGGCTTCCTCACCAGTCAGGAGTGACTGGTGAGGAAGCCTGTCATCATCCAATCGGCCAATCAGCGGGAGAA